TTTTTTTTTTTTTTCAAATTTTTTGGTTTTGATCTTATTTTGTTTATTCTTATTTTTTTGTTTAATTGAGGTCGTTTTTTTTTCTTCATGTTGATTTTTTTTTCTGTGAGTTCTCGGCAATACTCAAGACTCGTAAGAATCGTGGTTTTCCCTCGGCGACGTTTTTTGGGAGGAGAATTTCTAGATTTTGATGGTAATAGCTTTAGTGAAAAAAAATTTTTTTTTATATGATTTTTTGGGGAGGGGGCCGTCGTGCCCCAGAAAAAAAAATTTTTTTTTTCGATTTTTCGCAAAATTTCGACTGATTCGTTCGAAATAGATGGAAAATAAAGGAATTTGATAGTTGAAAGCCACAAAAAAGAAAAATCGGCTTAAGGGGGCCGTCGTGCCCCAGGCTCCCCTATAGTTAAACGCTAAAATTTAATATAAAAATTATAGTTTATGTCTTTGCAAAAAATATGTATTATTTAGAAAAGACTATTTCATTGGGTGGTACAATTTTTTTCACTTAAAATAATGACATACCGTTTTTTTTACTAACTGTTCGGTTTACGGTTTAGTACCTTTTTCATGAAAAAAATAGCATCTATCAGTTATTCTCGACATGTCAACTTTAAAGTTAACAAAAATATAATTGTTTTGATTTATAATTAAAAAAACTTACCAAAATCAATTACTGTATCATTGAATAATTATAAAATGCGCATATTATTCATAATATATATACAGATTTTGTATTACAACAATTCTAAAAGTCTGTTCAACTACTGGTCCCATTTTTAGAAGTGTTCAAGTACTGGGTACTTTACCTTAATACTTATAAAAATAAACTAAATAAAATTTCAGCACTTATTTTAATCAATAATAAAAAAAAACTCTAAAATTAGCTTTTAAAAACCTGAGGCATTTTAGCGATCCAAAAATAGCAATATCAAAATTACTTTTTTTTTTTCCTGCAACATCGAGAAACGCAACATGCGCAACAATTAGCAATCTTCCGGCGTAAAATTAACGTGCATATGCAGCTGAACAAACAAGTGCCTCCCAAAATACTAGCCCCCACTGGCAAGGATATTATCAATTTATGATTGTAAAAAGTGTCCTTTATTCGTTTAAAAACAACATTTTCTCTTTTCCTGTTGCCGTCCTTATCAATCAGCTTGCTGTCACTTTGATTAACAACTTGCGCGCGTTTGTCACTCTTTTTTGCTTTTTTTCCCGTTGAATTTTTTTCTACAGGATTAAAACTTAACAAAGTGTACGTAAATTATTCAATTTTAAAATTTCAATCAATTATATAATTAATATAATCTGCTTACTGCTGAAAAGGTTTAGTTTCTTCAATCACATTACTTTTTTCCGTTTCAGAATTTTCAATGTAATCTAGAGCGGCTTCTGCAAATTCTTGATCAAATGCATTATTATACAATTTATCTTCATAAACATAATCATCACTATTATCATCTTCTTCGTCAATATCCAGCAAGTCTTTTAATTTAGTCTCCAACTGTATGTTGGACTCTTCATCTTGATTTGACGCAAGTCCCTTATTTATTTTAATATTAAATAATAAAAATTAAATTATTAAAATTTTAAAATTATTAAATTTTAGTAAAATTTAATTACCTGTTTAATAATAAATAAATATATAATAAAAACAATAAAAATCATTGATTTTATTATTTTAAATTAAAAAATAAAAAAAAAGGTTAGACAATTATTTGAAAGCCATTAAGCTAAAAAATTTAACGGAATGAAGTTAATCATTAAATAATTCAGTTGTTAACATTTTGACGTGAGGTTTACATTACAAATGGCATGTCATAATTTTTATAATATAATTATACATATTTACGATGAGATTTATCTATTATTTTTTTATAACATTGATATATTTTTGTGAGGTAAATTAAAAATATTTTTTATAAATTTTTTTGTTTTAATAATTTAATATTAAAATTAAGGTTATTATTATTATTATTATTATTATTATTATTATTATTATTATTATTATTATTATTATTATTATTAATGCAATAGAGAGCATGGATAATTCGAGGTTCAACAGATTTAAGTATCGCTGAGCTGAGACACTTGTCTGAAAAATTACACCCAGAACAGTGTGTTAAAGTACTGGAGTCGTTGTACTTAAGAACACCTGGTTACACGTTAAAAGATGAAAAAAAATTACACCAATTGACGTCATCAGAACAATGCCAGTTGAAATTAGAGCAGTGGAGTCACATATTTCCAGGTGATTTAATTTTTTAATAATTTATAATTCATATTTTTATTCGTTTTAATTATTCAAGGAAAGAAGAATAATCGAGCGCGATTGCACATTATTAAAATTTTACAAATGATTGGGCGTATTGATTTAGCTAATTATGTTAAACGTAGTAAAAGGATTGCTGAGTTGTTGCATAATATCAAATATTTACCAAGAAGATACAGAAAACATTTGGAGGAGTTGAAGAAACGGAATAAAGCTAAAAGAATTAAATTACATTTAAAGAAAAAATCTAATAATAAAAATTTTAATAAACCACGAGCTGTTTCTGGGTAAGATTATTATTATTATTATTGCTTAAATTTTGCTTTATTAAATAATGACTTTTGTTAAATTGCACTGTACTTTTTTAACTATTGACGTTTTTAAAGATATAAGCTCATTCCGATCTTACACTCATCAAGAGCTTTCATTTGAGTAGCCACATGCATTTTTGATATATTTTTCATATATACATATATATAATATATATAAATATATGAAAAATTGATGTGGGTATTCAGATGAAAGGTCTCGATGAGTGTAATGTCAGGATGAGCTTATATCTTCAAAAAGGTCAGTAGTTGACAATATACAAGGTCATTTCTTAAATATTGATATTTTTAAAGATGTAAGCTCATCCTCATGTTATACTTATCAAGAGCTTTCATTTGAGTACCTACATGCATTTTTGGTATATTTTTCATATATACATGTATATTATATATATAAATATATAAAAAATTGATGTTGGTACTCAAATGTAAGGTCTCAATGAGTATAATGTAGGAATGAGCTTATATCTTTAAAAATGTCAATATTTGACAAAATACAAGGTCATTCCTTAATTATTGATATTTTTAAAGATATAAGCTCATCCCGATGTTACACTAATGAAGACCTTTCATTTGAGTACCCACATGCATTTTGATATATTTTTTATATATATATATATATATGTAATATATATAAATATATGAAAAATTGATGTGGGTACTCAAATGAAAGGTCTTGATGAGTCTAACATCGGGATGAGCTTATATCTTTAAAAATGTCAATATTTAAGAAAGTACAGTACAATTTAACAAAAGTCAGTATTTAATAAAGCAAAATTTTATTTATTTACAATAATAATTTCTTAATAAAAATTTTTTAGAGAAGTTATTATTATTATTGTTTTTTTTCTGATAACAGTTTAAGAATTACTTAATTTTCATTATACAGACTTGTGGAGCGACAGGCAAAAGAAGATGATCCATCTTCAACAAAATGGATCATTGTTATAATTGCCATTTTATTGCTAGTCGTAATTATAATAATAACTGCAGCGATAACTATCTACAAGAGATCTGGAAAAACGCGAAATGTACCATTAAGTCAAGTTCCTATGTGCCACCCAAGTTGCAGTGGCTACAATCGTTTCCCTCAAGATGTCGAAGACGGATGGATGTCAAGTAAATCCGATTTGCCGCTGGCCAAGTGCCAGAGAAGTGCCCCCGTTCCTGTGCTGCCTCGGTTAGAATCTGAGCCGGAGAGAAAGCCAGTGAAGAAACCAGAAAAGAAACCGGAGAAAAAGAAGCCAGAGAAGAAACCGGAGAAAAAAAAGCGGCAATCTAAGGAAAAATCATCCGAAAAAGTGGTGCAAAAAGTAAAGAAGGTTGAACCGGTTGAGAAAATTGTAAAAACTGAAACTAAAGTTGAGGAAACTGAAAAAACGGTTAAAAAAGAAAAGAAAGAAAAACCTAAAACTGATACGGAAAGTGAAGAAACTGATGTAGAGCCTCCAAAATTTATTAATGGTCCAGAACTTAGGGAGATTTTGGATCAACATACTAGTACTTGTAGTTGTTGCGCGTGTCGACCTAATCCAGGTATGAATTTTTTTATTTTTATGATACTTATATTAGCAGACATTCTGACAATTGTTGAAATTTTTTATAATTAATATTTTAAAAAATTTGAACTTAATTTTTTTAATATTTTTATATGTGAATTTCTCTTTTATTATAATTTAATTGTTATAAAAATCTAAAAAATTAACGATTACAAAAAAAAAAGTATTTATAATTTTTTTTAATTTCTTCATGTGGAATTTTTTCGTTAAATTTCCATTGAAATTTAATCTATATTATTAAAAAAATAAAAAATGACCTTCTATCTTGTGAATTATTGACATTTTTAAAGATATAAGCTCATCCCGATGATACACTCATCGAGACCTTTCGTTTGAGTACCTACATCAATTTTTCATATATTGATATATATTATATATATATATATATATATATATATATATATATATATATGAAAAATATATAAAAAATGCATGTGGGTATTCAAATGAAAGCTCTTGATGAGTATAACATCGGGATGAGCTTGTATCTTCAAAAAGGTCAATATTTGAGAAAGTACAGTTCAATTGAACATAATTAAGAAACGACCTTGTATCTTGTAAACTATTGACATTTTTAAAGATATAAGCTCATCCCGACATTACACTCATTGAAACCTTTCATTTGAGTACCCACATCAATTTTTCATATATTTATATATATTAGATATATGTATATATGAAAAATATATCAAAAATACATGTGGGTACTCAAATGAAAGCTCTTGATGAGTGTAACATTGGGATGAGCTTATATCTTTAAAAAGGTCAATAGTTAAGAAAATACAGTGCAATTTAACAAAAGTCGTTATTGAATAAAGCAAAATTTTATTTATTTATAGCTCACAAGTCACGGCAGTCACATAGTGACTGCAAGGTAGCTAGTTTTTAAAAAAATCTAAAAAATTGTTAGATGTCTGATAAAATTTAGTATCAACATTTCAATATTTATATTTAAAATAATTATTTCTTCCGCAGATGGGACAGCAGACGAGCGAACACTTTGTTCAGATAAATTTTGCAATAATCGGAAAGCTGCCCAAGTAATGAACCGTATTAAACCCTTCACCAATGAACACGTAAGAAAATCGAGTTGGTTCAAAAATAGAGCGAAGACAATTTGCAAATTTCCGAGCAGAAAACTTAGCCAGGACAAGGAAAAATTGCCGTTGACCTGCTCGCCGGTGAATACTGCGACAGAAGGATCGACTACTGAAAGTCCTCCGGTGACTAAACGTAAGTCTTCGTCAAAGAGTCCTCCACCTCTACCTCCGCCTCCACCTCCACCACCGCCACCGCCTCCACCTCCACCTCCACCTCCTCTCCCCAAGGAACAAAAACGAGAGTCTAAAGCCAAAGAAAAGTCTTCGAGGATGGAAAAAAGCCCGAGAAAAAGTTCGACGCCAAAAAGCAGCTCCAAGAGTCCGTCGAGAAGTTCAAAAAAATCACTCCAACCTTGTGTGAAAAATTCTTGCTCCGCTAAAAATTCGTCGCCGCGAAATTCGAGACCTTCAAAAAGTAATAAAAATTAAAGATAAATTTTTGAAAAATAAATAATTTTATTTTTATTCCCCGCAAAATAATTCCCTAAACAATGATATCAGTACAGATATATTGTAATTGTCAACGTGAGTGAAGAACAAAAGTTTTGCAATGATAATAATGATGATGAATAAATGGAATTGATGGTATAAATAATCGCGAAATACTTTGCCAGACTTCAGTACTCTTCAAAATGAAACACGCGCTGTTACTGTTATTACTTATCGGAATTTCTCTTGGTAAATATTTTATTTTATATAATATAAATTGTATTAGCTGACGTTTTAAAATTTTTACAATTTTTTTTATTGAAAAATATTTTTTTTAACAAACAAATTTATTGTAAAAAACTATTTTTTAAAATTTCCATTTTAAAATTTTGAAAATTTCTACTTGTCAATTTTTTTATATCATTTATTTGTTAGAAAAATTAAAAAAATTATTGAGTATCTGCTGAATTAATTTTCATGCTATTTTTATGAAAAAAATTTGACATGAAAATTAAAAAAATTTTAAGTGTAATTTTTTAAAAATATTTTTTGATTCAAATAAATCAAAAATTAAAAAATGTCTGATATTTTTATGACATTAAAGTTAGCTGTCACTTGACCATTTTTTAATTTTTTTTAACAAACAAATTTGTTCTAAAAAATTATTTTTTAAAAATTGCATTTTAAAATTTCTACTTGTCAATTTTTTTTTGTATAATTTAATCGTTACAAAAATTAAAAAAATTATTGAGTATCTGCTAAATTAATTTTCATGCTATTTTGATGATCATTATTTTATGAAAATTAAATTAGCAGACATCTGAACATTTTTAGAATTTTTTTTATTGAAAAAAATTTGACATGTAGAAAATTTAAAAAATTTTAAATGCAATTTTTAAAAAATATTTTTTTACTTATAATTTTTATTGATTCAAAAAATCAAAAATTTTTAAATGTCCGCTAATTTGAATATAATAAATATTTTATGATACTGCAGTTGATAGACAGAAATTTTTTTATAATATTATAACAATGAAATTATTGTGAAATAAATTAAATAAAAAAATTCTATAAGTGAGAATTAAAAAAAAATTATTAGTGAAAATTTTTAGAAGCATTTCTTTTTTATTTTGTAATTGATTTGTTATTAAAATTTGAAAAAATTGACAGCTGTCAGCTGATTTCAGTATCATAATATTTTTATTATGATTAGTACAATTAAAAAGGTGTACTAAATTTTTAATTGTTTATGTTTACTTACAGAGGATGACATTGACATTGACCAAGGTTACTACGAGTTAATGAATAATTTTATTACCGGAGCGAGTGAATTTCCAGCTCCTGAAAAATTAGCAAGAGGCGTTTTTACTAAAGACTTAGTTCTTTATTCGAGTTATTATATGAGTGAAATGTTGCAAGATTTTTTACTCGAGTATTATCAGCAGGTAAGTTATTTTTTTTTTTGATACCGTTAATTAGCCCAATTTATCTATTCTACGCAAAAATAAAAATAATTAACTTTAAAAATTCATAAATAAATTAAGTTAAATTTTTTTTTTACGTATGTACAATAATTGATTTTAATTTAATTGAACTGTTTCAATTTAATTTTTGATGATTGAGGTTAAGAGGTTATTAACTTTTAATCGTTTTGATTTATTTGTTTGATTTAGTTAATTTAATTGACATAAATTTAGTCAGTTAATTTAATTTTTACTGATATAATTATAAAAGTATGAAATTAAAATTAATTTAGCAAATATTTAATAATTTTTAGACTTTTTTTAACAAATAAATTATGGCAAAAAAAAAAAAATGGTGTAAAAATTTTATAAAATTGAAAATGGAATTTTTTAAATTTATTTAACAAATTTTTTTGTTGAATATAATTAAAAAATGGTCTAATGGCGACTAACTTTAATGTCATCTAATTGTTTTATTTTTCTTGATTAAATAAACTATGCCCAGAAAATAATTTATAAAAAATTACACTTGTAATTTTTTAGCGCTTATAAAGATGGAATTTTTTAAGGAGATCCACGCGAAGTATTCAAAATTTTAAAACTTCCTAAAAATTTGTAAATTCAATCTACGTAGCCTAATAATTAATAAAAAAAATTAAAAAACAGTAGATTTCCGGGATATTTAATCAAATAATTAGGTTTGAAAATTGTTATTTTTACATGTGAATGGAGATTCCACCAGCCGTGTATTTGGTTAAGAATTTAATGCAATTAACGATTTAAAAAAATTGTATTTTCATTGAATTTGATTGAAAAAATAATAAGCTTTCGATTAAAACAATAAAAAAGTTGCTTTTCGAACGTATTACGGAGATATTTTATATTTTTTATGAAAAATCACTCGGAACTTGCGTTCTTTAAAGTCTTGTATTTGACTTGGCAACACCGCTTGCGCAGTTACTCATGCGCATAAGTAACCACGGTTTTTTAAATGCTAGAAGATCTTAGTAATTTTAATTAGACAATTTACATAAATAAATTTGAAGATTAAGGAATTCTTGCGGTGTTGTCAAGTGTATACCGGTAATTCAGCGTGCTATATTTTTTATTAGTTAATTAAATGTTAACGATTATTTAATGAGTAAATTTATCGGAAATTTCCTCAAAAATGTTATTAATTAATTTAAAAATTAATTTTAAGATGCATAACAAAAGTATTTCTACGTGTTATTTTTTTATAGACATTCTTTACACTAGGAGGGTACTTGGATCTCCTCAATTACATGGAAAAACTATAACCAAATCAATAATGTAAAAAAATCCAATTTATTTTAAGTTTAAAAAGTAAAATTTGAAACTTCCTCAAATTATTCTAATAATTAAATAAAATTCTAAGAAACCTTCTGGACAATTATTCTTTTGTTACAAATTAAAAGACTATAGTAATTACGAATAAAAAATTTTAGGTCTTTCCTAATTAAACTTTTATTGTCCGTTATCTAAGAGTGCAATAAAGAACCGATACTTGAACTTTTATCAAATGATATTATACTTACTTATTTTTATTTTGTTAATAAAGAAATATAATATCACAATTAGAAATATAATAACTTGAATACTCAAAGGATTATTAAAAAGGATAATTTCTCCACAGGCTTTTAACTAAATTAATGACTCATAAGTATATGAAAAGAGTATTTAAAAACTAAAAAAAAATGAGAAGGTTATTAATTAATTTTAAGATTCATAACAAAAGTATTTCTACGTATTATTTTTGTATATACATTCTTTACACTTGGATCTCCTTAGAGTATTTTTTTTTGCTATAATTTATTTGTTAAAAAATTTCTAAAAAAAATTGAAAGCAAAAAAAAATTTTATTAAATTTAAAAATTATATAATTGAATAAAATTAATTAACAGGCATCAAGAGCAAAAAATGGAATGACCAGAGACATGGAAAATGCAGTTGAAAGATTGACAGAATTATTTACACGGTCAACAATTCCGCCTGAAGATGACATGAAGAGAGTAAATAATTTATTAGAAAAATTACTAAAGTGCTTACCGGGTAATGTTAAAATAAAACGTAAAGCATTGCCGCCGTTACCGTCGCCCAATCAAGTGGAGACTCATCTGGGAAATGAAGAGCTGTCAAGTCTTTATCTGGACCTCGCTGGACGCATTGACAGAGACTTAAAGAGTATTCGTGATCTTGTAGACGGAGTATTGTTGTCTGGATGGGAAAAAGCTAGACTGTCTTTCAATAAAGTTCAAGATCAGCTGAGGGAAGATCATCTAAATCCAATGCTTCGGTCATTTTCTGCGGAAATAAATAAAATAAATGACAAAGAAGAGATTATCAAACAACACGTGACGAATGGCACTTGGCAAGCTTATAAAGAACTCAATCAACGAGTTAACTCAGCTCTGCAATCACTTTAAATATTTATACATGCAATTTTTATATTATATTAACATAGATATATTTGTTATTTTAATAATTATAATTATTTTTTATGTAAATTTGTATAAATTTATTTTTACCGTAATTTTATTCTTCTTAATAACAAAACAAGCCAGCGGTTAATTTATGACTTATTTTTTTTTTATAAATTGCTTGTAATCTATATTATTGAGAGAACAAGAAAATACCTTGTATCTTGTGAACTGTTGACATTTTTAAAGATATAAGCTCATCCCGATGTTACACTCATCAAGACCTTTCATTTGAGTACCCACATCAATTTTTCATTTATTTTATATATTTATATATATTATAAATATATGTATATATAAAAAATATATCAAAATGCATGTGGGTACTCAAATGAAAACTCTTGATGAGTGTAACATCGAGATGAGTTTATATCTTTAAAAATATCAATTTTTAAGAAATTACCTTGTATTTTGTCAACTATTGACATTTTTATAGATATAAGCTCATCCCGATGTTACACTCATCAAAACCTTTCATTTGAGTACCCACATCAATTTTTCATACATTTTATATATTATAAATATATGTATATATCAAAAATATATCAAAATGTATGTGGGTACTCAAATAAAAGCTCTTGATGAGTGTAATATCAAGATGAGCTTATATCTTTAAAAATATCAATATTTAAGAAATGACCTTGTATTTTGTCAACTATTGACATTTTTAAAGATATAAGCTCATCCCGATGTTATACTCATCAAGACCTTTCATTCGAGTACCCACATCAATTTTTCATATATTTATATGTTTATATATATTATAAATATATGTATATATGAAAAATATATCAAAATGCATGTGGGTACTCAAATGAAAACTCTTGATGAGTATAATATCGGGATGAGCTGATATCTTTAAAAACGTCAATAATTAAGAAAATAGAGCGCAATTTAACAAAAATCATTAGTTAATAAAGCATAATTTTATATATTTATAATTCATAAGTCACGGCAGTCACGTAGTGACTGCAAAGTTGCTAGTATTGATATTATTTTAAAATGAGTGAATTATCATCTGCAATAAAAAATAATTCAAAGTAATAAAATATCTTAATTTTTAAGAACTCTGTCATTAAGATACTTTGTATAAAAAAAACTTAATCACCTTCGATAATAGTTTTACTGACTATTTATTTACATCTCATTGATTAAGTAACTTATCAATGAAACATAAAGTAAATATTTTACTCCGGGACTGACAAGTGTTCAGAAAAATATCCATTAAAATTTTTTATCTCTTCTTATTAATAATAATAATAATAATTATTATAAATAGTTTGTCTATGACTAATTTGTCTGAGAGCAATAAATGATTTAATATCTCGGACTTATATTTGAAAAAATTGAAAAAATACTTTTTTATTACACAGTAATCAATAGTTTGCGTTTGCAATAACAAAACTTAAAGTACCATAAAACGAATCAACGCTTTACATTAATGATTGATTTACAATCGGTACTATTATTATTATTTTCATAATAATGAAATGTTTTATAACATGTTCTACAACAATAAGATGATAACATCTATAAAATCAAAAATTTTCAAAACAAATTCACTTTTTCTTGGCAGTAAAAATTTGCCAAGCTTGAATTTATAATTTAATCAGTTGTTAACGTGTTAACTTAACTTGATTGCGTCTCACTTTTTATAATAATTTTATAACTGTAAGTATTCTCAATTATTTACATAAAATTAATTGAAGAAAAAATTATATTAAGTCTTAAAAATAAAAAGTCAAAAAATATATAATTATATAATAAATTATTTAGTCAATATTGTCAAATTGTCCTTCGACAATTTGCCGCGTTGGATATTTTCCGCGAGAGTAATTTTCAGCTACTACATCTTTCACTCTAGGTATGTGTAAATCCGCGGGGCAAAAGTACATTGGGTTGCCGTAAATGTACTTTGGTATAAAGCAGTCTTTTTCAATAATTTGCGGTGGATTATAGGCGTCAAAATCATCCGCGCTGTCACCGTCTTTGTCCCAGTCTTCGGTTTTTATTGAACATACTTGCGACATTGAATTTCTGGAATAAATTTATTTTATTAGAAAATTAGTTTAGTTTATTTTAATTTTAATTATTTATAAAGTACTAACGAGAGAGTAGAGAAACTTTCGGTGGAACTACGTGAACTAAATGAACTGTTTGATGAATTGCTCTGGGGCTCTGCCTTTGGACCATCTAGTTTTAATTCTGATTGATTGTAGGCTCTCAGTGATTCACGGAGATTTTTAAAGTTTAGTATCTGGAACCATTAATTTTTTTAGTAGTGTCATTTTGGAGTCGGTTGAAAATATAATTAATATTTATTATAATAATAAAAACTAGCAACCAGTTACTATGGGACTTCCGTGACTTGTGAAATGTAAATAAATAAAATTTTGCTTTATTAAATGATGACTCTTGTTAAATTGCAATGTACTTTTTTAAATATTGAAGTTTTTTAAGATATAAGCTCATCCCGATGTTACACTCATCAAGAGCTTTCATTTGAGTACCCACATGCATTTTTGATATATTTTTCATATATACATATATATAAATAAATATATAAATAGATGGAAAATTAATGTAGGTATTCAAATGAAAGGTCTTGATGAGTGTAATGTCGGTGTGAGCTTATATCTTAAAAAATGTCAATATTTGACAAGATACAAGGTCATTTCTTAATTATTAACATTTTTTAAGATATAAACTCATCTTAATGTTACACACATCAAGACCTATCATTCGAGTACCCACATGGCATTTTTCATATATTTTATATATATAGTATTTGTGAAATATATAAATATATAAAATATATGAAAAATTAATGTAGGTACTCAAATGAAAGGTCTCGATGAGTGTAATGTAGGAATGAGCTTATATATTTAAAAATGTCAATATTTGACAAGATACAAGGTCATTTTTTAATTATTGACATTTTTAAAGATATAAACTTATCCTGATGTTACACTCATCAAGAGCTTTCATTTGAGTACCCACATGCATTTTGATATACTTTTCATATATATATATATATATTTTTTTTTTCATATATACATATATATAAATATATGAAAAATTGATGTGGGTACTCAAATGAAAGGTCTCGGTGAGTGTAACATCGGGATGAGCTTATATCTTTAAAAATGTGAGTATTTTACAAGATATAAGGCAGTTTTAATTATGTACCTAGAAATAGAGCATTTTCAAACAGCCTAAATACTTATCATGATAAATCAACTATCGGTAAGAATAATATGAAGCCTTGAAAAGGCTTAAATTCAAATCAAGACCTCTGCAATGAGACCAAATTTCATTAAGAAAACCTATTTTGTCATATCGACGTTCTAATTAGCAAATTGTCTAACCGCATTTTAGATCTTTTATTTATGCGAAAAAAAAATTTATTATTACTGTAAAAAACAATTTAATATCTAATAGAGGTATAATAATTTCGTTTGGATCATTTAAATAATTTATAAATGGACTGTTGTCACATAAAAATGTAAAAAAATCCCTTCTAAAAAATACGGAGTTAGACCAATTGCTAATTAGAATTTTTTTATTCTCTTAATAATATAGATAATTAACTAAAAAATTATTTTTTAATTTTTTTGATAAAAATATTAAAAAACAAAGTAAGAAAAAAAAAGTAATTACTTGATAATTATCCACATCAATATAATTCTGCTCCACATCAAATCCAACAAGACTCCCAAAATCCTTCAGGTACTCAGGTAACTCTCTCAAATCATTAGCATAAATATCCAGATACTGAATCTTCTCAAGTTCCCTCATAGACTCCGGCAGCGAGCAAATATGATTGCTCGAAACATCCAGCACCCGTAAGCTCTCCAGCTTGCCAATATTCCCCGGCAACATAATCAAAGTATTCTGGGCCAATAACAAAATCTCCAATTTTTTCAAACAGCAAAATTCATCCGGAAGCCAGCTGATGTGATTCCGGCTAAAGTCAATCACAGTAACATTAACCAGACTTTTAATCTTCGGAGAAATCGTCGAAAGCCCAACCGCTTGTGAATGAAACTCCTTAATCTCCCCAGGTGAGTTAATAAATTCCATCGGTAATTCCGTAAATAAATTTCCCGCATAACTATATTTATTATTTCCAATTTTTAACTCCTCAACAGATTCAATATCGCTTAATATAGCGGAAATATTTTTCTCTGTAAAATTACAGCGTTGTAAATTTAAAACTCTGACTATTATTTTTGGATTAGGAGGAATTTTAATTAAATCAAAAAGTGAATTTTCAAAATTAAGCTCTTCAAATTTATAATATTTCCCGGAAAAAATCCACTGTGGAAATTGAAGCCGGGCATTTAGATTATTTCTTCCGTAAAATTTTTTTATTCTGTGACTATAAACTCGCCCGTCAATATTCATTTTATTATCAGATAAATTTAAAGTCTCCAAAATTGGCATACCAAACTCAATACAAGACGGAATAAATTTAAAATAATTATCCGATAAATCCAAAAACTTTAAACGCGTCATTTTTTCCCAAGAAGTTGGTAAAAATTTAATACAATTTCCCGAAAAATTTATTTTTTCAGCCTTTAGCAAAGCTCCAAAATTTTCTGGAAAATCTTCCAGCCTATTATTGACAATACTCAGCTCTTTTAAGCACTCAAGCTCTTCCAGAACTTGGGGAACCTCTCTAAATTGATTTCTATCCAAAATTAAAGTCTCCAACTTGATTAAACACGTGATAGCGCTTGGGAGAGAAGACAGCCTGTTGTCTGACAAGTCTAGCTTCAACAAATTGCAGTAGCGCTTAAAAAAATTATCCGAGACACTGTTTAAATCTTTTTGGATTAATTCAAGCTCCGACACATTAGCTTCTTCTTCTTTTATCTCATCCGCAGTATCAATTTTACTTGAGCTCCCATTCGATAAACTTCCATTGATCTGCACTCTTGATTTAGCGTCACGCGTGCTCCTTTGTCTATTTTTTACTTCCGGCATTGTTTGGTGATCCATATATCTTTTTTTTTGGCCCTTTAATTAAATATCGATTTTTTTTAGGTTAGACAAATGTTTTTTTTATTAATTAAAAATTTATTTGATCTTTAAATTTACCTTTTTTTTGTTATTCTGGAACAAGTGACTGCTGGATGATTAGATAGTTAATTTAAAGCTATTTTATTTTAGACTGTGAGGTATTAACAAATATATACAGACGCACGTGATAGTGATGCTTTGAGAGCTTGTTTGAAATTGAGAACTACAGCATGTGCTGCCATGTAGATTATTTTTTTTAAATATGATCTGGTGATATCGTTTGATGGTAATGGGACTTTTTTTATCGACTAATATAAGAAGTTATGAGCGGGAAATTTTGAATTTTTTTTTTTATATAGAAATTTAGGCAATTTTTTTTTATACTATTACAAATCAATTATGAAAAAAAATATTTTTAAAAATAGAAACTTGATATCTTAAAGAATGTCAATAATTAAATAAATAATAGTTTAAAAAAACTAAAAACACGCTTTTTATAGAAAACCAAACTAAAAAATAAAAAATAAATTTAAATTAAGAATAGTGTTAAAAATTTCAATAAATATAAATTAATAATAGTGTAAATAAAAAAAATGTATTTCATTTTTAAAAAAAAGCGTGGGATGCTTTATAAGATATTATCAAAATGATAATCACTCTACTCATATCTGTCAATAAAATATTTATAACTATTGACACCATGCACCCCATGCGTTTTTTAAATAAAATACATTTTTTTTTATTTACACTATTATTAATTTATATTTATTGAAATTTTTAACACAATTTATAATTTAAATTTATTAAAATTTATTTTCTATTTTTTAATTTGGTTTTCTATAAAAAGCGTGTTTATAGTTTTTTTTAAACTATTAATTTTCATAAAAAA